ACCAAACTATTTGCACATTATTTTCTCGAACAGATAAACAGAAAACAAAAAGCAATAGCAGTTGCTGTGTTGTAAATTGTAAAAATACTAGCGGAAAAAACAGTGTAAATTATATAAATTTTCAGTAGCAAAATGGAAATTAAATCAAAGAAATAAATGGATAGCTGTACAATAAGAAGAAAAAAACTTTTTTTTTTGTAATAATAACAGCAATACTGGAAATAGTAGACATCAGAAAATTGAAAGGTTTTAAATAAACAATAAATTATTATTTTACAATGTTGGTCAACATCCCTTAACTCTTAAATGTTCAGCAAAGATTATATTTCTGCCTTTGATTATTGTATGTGGCTGAAATGCAATCTTGTGACTTATTGATAGGAAACCAATTTTAATCATTAATTTCTATGGGTTCTTTCAAACTAAAAATTAAAAAAATATAAATTACAATCGCAAATTTACCAATTATTTTTGGTAATACGTTTTGATACTACGTTATTATATAATGGTAATGTTTTTATTATCACATTATTTAACCTATTCTTTAATTACAACTTATTAGGCTTAGGTAACATATCATACATTTTTTTAGCTGAAGTGTCTAAAATATTTATTAATAATAATTAATTTTTTCACTTGTTTTACAAATCCATATACTTTTATTAAAATTAACATATCGCACACTTAGTAATAAAGTGGCATAACTCGAAATTTGAATGTTTAAATTTTTAATCATATAATGGCCCAAAATGGCACCCTTCATATGTAAAGCTTTTTAAATGACGGTATTACTCCAACGCAGTATGTCTGAGTGTTGGAGTAGCACCATCATTTAAAAAGCTCTACATATATAGAGCGCCATTTAGGGTAGTTTTAGGTTTAAAAGTTTAAAGATGCAAATTTCGAGTTAAGCCACTTTAATACTAAGTGTGCGATATATAGTTTGTATTGTCAGTACTCAGTATCCGCAAATATCGTCCGTTAGTTCATGAACTAGTTGGCGCTGCTGTCACGTACAGAGCGAATATCGAATGAAAATAGGCTGACTGCGCTTTGCATGATGAGCTTACCTCGAAAAATAATCGCAAAAAACTAAAAAGAAATCATGTTTTCTGTTATCGATTATTTTAGGTAGAGGAAGAAGAAATTAAAAATTTGCGTTTTCCTAGTGTTGTCGACGTGTTTGAGTGAGTTTTTTTGTTTTTGTGTTTTTATAAATATTTTATTTTTTAAGTATTATATATGGCTCTGTCTTCTTGTTCATATTTTTCTTTTATTTCACACCTTCTGTTTGTTTTTAAAAATATGTGTGTTAAGTTTCTTGTTTTTTTTTTTTATTTTAGTTTCTGTCTTTTTTGTTGGGTTATTTTATTTATTAGAAACTTTTCTTAATTTGTATTGCTCTTTTATTTTTTATTTTCTTTGTTTTTCAACAAATAAACATTCTAAATTTTTTTCAAAATGTTTGCCCCTCCCTATAGAATTGTGTAACGACGCCCATGAGGCTATTGTATACGAGTTTGATCCAGCTAATGAATATGTTATCTAGGTTATTTCTTTATTTATTTCAAGATTTTCATCAAATTATGCAGCTTCTTACCATTTTGCAATGTCCGATTGCTTTTATAAAAAATTTCTTTTAGATAATTAAATAAAATTAAGAATTTTTCACTAAAAACATACACAGAGTTGTCAATTTTTCAGTTAAACGTTAAGCCATAGTTTTTAATGATTTAAACCGGTGTATCTCAATGAACAAAATCTAAAAACATTTAATTTAAACACCAATTCATGGTAGAATAAAATTAAACAAAAATTTTTATGAATTTTATCCAGATTCTTGAATAAAGTGAGTTAAATATTGAGTATCTTAAACCTTGAAATTATTGAGAACTAATCAGTATTAACCCTATATAATTAACCGAAAGAGACACTGTGGCATTCTGTAACGTTTGTACAGTCTCTTGTGGACTTTATTATCATGCGACTAAAGCAGTGGTCGCCAACCTGTCGATCGCGAGCTACCGGTAGCAATTCTGGTAGCTCTCACAACGATTTTAATTTAAAAAATACAAACTGCAAAAATCAGAGAAGCTTCCGAAAATTCCACAAAAATCTAATTGTCATAATTTTAATCATAAACAGCGGCAACGTTGCGCTTAGTTGAAAACTGAACGCGTAACCAACGTCCAGCGGTTGGGTTAGTAGAGAACAACAAAAATAATATTATGGCAAGCAGTTGTAAGAAGGAAAAGACATATCACTTTCATTCGGAATGGGAAGAACAATACTTTTTTACAGAAGTTAAAGATAAAAATGTGTGTTTGTTATGTAATAAATACTTCGGTCTCCGTTGCTAAAAAAGGAAATATTGAGAGACTTTGAAAAATCATTCCCACTACATTCTGCCGCCAGAAAGGAGAAACTGAAACAGTTAAAAAAGCAGTTAATTGGACAACAATCAATATTTTTAAGAACAGTCGACAAAAATAAGGCTGCAACTGAAGCATCGTACCGTGTGTCCCAGGTAATTGCACAAAAAAAGAAACCTTATGAAGACGGGGAAATGATAAAACAGGCGTTTTTAGAAGCTGCTGATTCGTTATTTGCCAACTTTAGAAATAAAGACGAGATAGTTTCAGCTATAAAATCTATGCAACTACTGACAGAAGTTGTTTTCTCATTAAAAAAATATTATTTCTTCCGAGAAAATTCCAATATCGAAAATGGTAGGCTTGAAAACCGATGGCGCTCCAGCTATGGTGGGTTGTGATAAGGGTCTGGTGGCGTTATGTCGTAAAGATGAAACTTTTCCACAATTTCTCTGTTACCACTGCATTATCCATCAGCAAGCATTATGTGGAAATTTCCTGAAACTAAACAACGTTATGAAACTGGTGATAAAAATTGTGAACAAGATTAGAGCTCAAGCGTTACAAAGAAGATTATTCAAAACCTTGGCCGATGAAGTTGACTGTCAATACGGGGACTTACTCATTCACTCTGAAGTAGAGGTAGTTAAGTAGAGGACGGGTGCTGAAACGTTTTAATGATGTCCTATCTGGCATAGTTCAATTTTTCAAACAACGCGATGAACCGACTCCGGAACTAGAAAATTCAATCTGGCTTAGAGATTTTGGTTTTCTCGTGGACATTACAGAGAAATTAAACAAACTTAATTTGCAGCTTCAGGGGAGAGACAAAGAACTAGCGGAAATGATTTCTGATATAAAAGCATTTATCAAAAAGCTAGAGTTTTGGTAACAAAGCCTAATTAACAGCGATGCCAAGCATTTTCCTATTCTTTCATAAAAAATATCTTAAAATCCATTAGAACCCTATGACAGCAAATATCATGTAGAAATAGTTTCTATCCTGAAGAATAACTTCAAAAATTGTTTTAAGGATTTCAACGAAATGGTTTTAGTAGCGCAGTTTGTTGTTTCACCCTTTATGGAAATTGATTATCCAACAATTTGCAACTTGTGTTATGCAGAACTTTGGCGAAGACATCGCTGCAACAGAAATTAAAGTAATTGAGTTTCAAAATGATTTAGCCTTAAAATCGTTAGTGTCAAGTACCAAATGTATCTGGCCTATTGTAAGTATAGACAAATATTCAGTTCTATGCCGTGTTGCCTTGAAAGTGAAAGCATTATTCAGTTCAACCTATTTGTGTGAATCTTCTTTTTCCAATATGAAGTTTATTAAGAACAAATATCGCAATCGACTTACAGATAAACATTTGGATAACTGTATTCGAATGGCTGTATCGAAATTATACTGCAAACATTAAAAAAATTATCGATGAGTCTGAGTGTCAGCCTTCTCATTGAACGTGCTTTTTTATTTTTTAATGTTTATGTTCATGATAGTGCGTTACTTTTTTGTTGTTATTATTAACTATTTTTAAATCTTACGTGACATGCCGTTGTGGCTGAATAAAAGTTTGTGTTTATTTTTCAAACACCTTCGTTTGGTAAGTAGGAATGTAGCTATGAACAAGTACGTACTAGCAATATTAGTTATTTTGTTATTAGTTTATTATTAGTACCTATGTATTATGTATTACCAGTTAAATAGTAAAATAAATACATATAATGATAAATTAACTGTGGATTATTTCATTTACGTTACGTTACGTGGCTTCCGTGTGGGTAGCTCGCTGTTTATTCCAAAATTAACAAAGTAGCTCAACACATTGAGAGGTTGGCGACCACTGGACTAAAGCCTAGAGTAGGAGTAGCGAGCGTCACGATGTGATAGCGATCCATCGAGTGACGCATCGTCGGTAAAACAACCTAGTGTACCAAAGGAACGCAAACATTCAGAGTGCAATGCGATATATGAAATATCAATCACGTCGCTCGACGCATCGCTATCGCATCGCGACGCTCACCGCTCCTACTGTAAACAAGGCTTTCGGCGTATTTATTTCAATTCATGATCGAAAGTTTTTACCTATTAATGATATATCAATATGGTGACTTATTTTTCATATATTTCGAAATATCAAGGAGTCTGAAAGTTTAGTTGTCAAATTAAAAGAATGAAACTAATGGAATTCAATTTCGTTATTTACATAGGTGTTTTTTATTATCATTATTTACCTAGAATGAGAAATATTACTTCTCATTAGAGGTGATTTCTCATGTTAGTAGTAAAACTATTACTAGTAATAAATTGTTATTAAACTGTAGACAGAACTTTCAACATCGCAACTTCTTTACTTTGATATACAGTATGGATACTTTTTCACAGAGATTATTGCGGTATGATTATGGTCCTTTAGAAATGAAAATCCTTACAATTTAATCAGACGGAAGAAGCTACCAATAATGCCCTTATTTTTTTCCAATTCGTATACATAAGGACATAATAAAAATAACAAATGGGCCCATTTTTTTTCAAAATATCTTATGCTCAGTCTCTGATATTACGCATTAAATTAGCATATAATTAAGTGTCCAATATATTATTAATCATAACTTTTACTTTACCTAGTAATCCAGTCTTTAAAATGTCTTCTTTGTGAGTGCGGAATATATGAGGACGCAGCAAATATTCAACTTTAGAATATAGATTGATTGTTCTTACTGCGCTAGCAATAGCAATAGTTGATGTTTCGTATTGCTCATCATCGTTCAAAAAAATTCCTAAAAATGAATTAATAGTTATTTATGTAAACAGTTACGAAATGCCTTATTGTGTGTAATTAGTTAATAGAGCAGCAGTTAAAAAAGCAGCTTTAAAAAATTAACAAGGAACGAAAATCGCCAACGCTCACTCAACTTTGAACTTTTGACAATACAAAATTGGGAAAGTATTGAAGAAAGTTACAGTAGAGAAATTTAAAGATACTTTTAAACGAGATTACTACAAAACAAACTCAGTTCCTTTCGCACTCAAAACATCTTTAAAGAACAATGACAGTCAATTTTATATATCTAGATTTATTTTGTTTGTTCAAGAAGTCTCCAGTACGTAACAATGATGAATGGTACCACAAAATTGATCATTATTTAAAAGATTCACGAGCGGTAAGCACAATAGACTTTCTGCTATTGGAAACATCAAGAACATATTTCCAAACTTGGCCGCAATGGCAAAAGATTTTTTGGCTACACCATCACGTCAGTTTCTATGGAAAATAATTTATCAGGGCTTTACTTACGGTGATCAAAATAAGAAACAGGTTAGACGAAAAATCAGTACAAATTTTAATGAGTGGTGGTTATCAACAATAGAGAATATGAAAATGTGTTTATTTAATCATTTTAATTTATTAATTATCTTTATTTTATAATTAATTTATTATTTACTTTAAACAGTTTGACACTCAAACTTTTTGATGCATCCCTGTTAGTTAATATGAACGAATTACACAAAAATGGCGTTCCTTAATAGACCGTCAGATAGTGACAGGTTTAGATTCCCCATTTTCGCATACAAGCGTCGAAGAGGGTTGACAGGTATATCGATTTGAGTAGAATGAAAAAAAAATCATATGAAAAATTCGATTGTCTTTAACAAAAATTAAGGGTATATTGTCGCCCATATTTTCAAGCAAACTGTGTCCAAAATTATTGCCAAATAAATTTTAAAAATGTCGCTTCATTTAACTGAGGCTCAAAAGTAGGGGAATAGAGCAAAATTGGAAGAAAATCGGTTTTTGTGAAGTGGCTGCTGAATTAAGTCTTATATTTTGCTTTAAGAAACACTTGTAAGAAGAGCAATGATAACCAAGTAATTTCAGATAACGTGTAGGGAAGGTATCTGTTGAATATGAAGAGTGCTCTCGTCAAAATATTTTTGAAATCGATGTTAAAGAACAATATTATTTCCAGGATCTCTCAGAACAGCTCAAATAATGCATTTAAAAAAACCGCGTTGCTGTCCATATTCTTTTTAACAGCAGAAAATAAGGCCAGCAGAATCCAGTTTGCAAATCAATTATTAATTTATAGAGGATAATTTTGGAACAACGTGGTATTCTCCGATAAAAAGAGGTTCCAATATTCTAACAGCTGAAGGCTAGTTTATCGTCCTAGAAACTCAAGAGAACTATATGTTGGGTACTACCAATAGTGGGCGCTTTTTCGTCATTATTTAGTCATTTATAAACTAGAATGGTACTGGAATGTGCTGGCAAATTGATGGGCGATAAGCATTACATAAACATCTAAGACAGCGTGATGTTGACATTAGTAAGAAAATATGTTTTTGCACATTTTACCTTTCAATATGTAAGAAATTAAATTTTTTATAATAATTTTTATTACAGGATAATCCCCAAGTTTATATGGTTCGAATAGTGAGAGAGTGGCTAAACAAAAATATAAATGTTTTTCAATAGTCAGTCAGAAATCCTTTGAAAATGGATTGAGCTTCAAAAAGATATGACAAAGAGACTTTAGACCAGCAAACCGCTGTCAACTATTAGACAGTCAGATAGTGATAGGTTTAGGCGCCCCAGTTTCGCATACAAAATTTGATTTTCCTTAACATAAATTAAAAGTATTTGTTGTCCGTATTTTCACGAAAGCCGTGTTCACTAAATGATTAACTAATCGAACCAGGCACGACGCCGTAGGCGGAGTGCTCAATCGTCTGAGTGCGGTGTGGACAATCCACTCGAAAATTTACAAATAAAAAAAATATTTTAGGTTATTAAGACAAAATAACTAATTTTAAAATAATTTATGACTTTCAATAATTTTTAAACTAAAATAAACAAAAAATAAAAAGAAAAAAGTTCATTTTAGTTTTCTCCATCCGAGAATCTAACTCAAGTCTTCAGTGTGGAAGGCAAGAACACTAACCACAGGACCACCTATTCTGTTATCTTTGTTGCTTTAATACTCGTAATTAAATTGACTTCATATAGTTTTATTTAAATTAACAAATTATTTATAATTATAGACGAAATAAAAACAGAAATGCTATTATTTATCGATTCTACACAAGAATAATCCATTTTATTGTATGTTGAATCTCAATAACAAAAAAATATACTTTAAAGTTGGCCACGATAGTTTTGTGTATTTCACTGACAAACTGACGAAAACTCGATTAATTTGCGTTTGAATATGGATGAAAAACTAATCGAGTTGTCCTTCTATTTTATGAAGCAATATATTAAAACAATTTTAGGATATTCTAAAATATTCAAGAAATGTTGTTCCATCGTCCACCAATTCCTTATATAGAGAAATAAATTTTCATTCACTTTCTGGTTTCATCCAAGCTTTTTGTATCCATTTTTGTTTGTTTATTAGATTTTCTTCATCTTACTCTTCTAGAGCTATGGCAATAATTCCTAATTCATTCAGTAAAATAAGTCATCTTGCACGAACTTCAGTGAATGCACAGGAGCTGCTACAGATGTGTGTGAATTGGTATAACTAATCGATACTTATTGGCACTGATACTGAACTGACACGACACTGATGTGTGTGAATAGACCTTTGTGGAGACATGTGCCGGCTCCCAGAAATCCTAAAGAGCTTCGCAACAAACTAGTACGGGAATGATTCAATCTTCCGCGAAATGTGATCCAAAATCTGATTCAAAGCATGCCTCGTCGTTTGTGAGCTGTTATCACTGCCAGAGGAGAAAATACTCGTTACTGAATTCCTTAAAACTTATTTTGTTTAAACATAATGTCCCATTTAATATTACTGGTTCTAGTCGCCTTGTGACGCCATCGTTGACTAGTACTGCCACTAGTAGAGAAGCTTACAATAGTTCATTTTCACTCTACAAATTGTATCAGTCTAACTGTCACCGTTTAAAGGAAAAGATTGGGGAAGGGACTTTTGACAAGCACTGTATACTTAAGTACTTAGGTATCATTGTAATTAGGTTATAAAAACATGTTGTGTTTTAAATAGATAAATAAATAAATACCACATACCTCATAATATATAACATTTTAAGTAATAGTATCCTGAGTAAAAAATAAATATGAGCTTTTAATTTTTGAAAAAAATAATTTAAAAAACAGTAAAAAACAAAAAATCAACATGTTCAAACTTTACCTCCGAAAATATTTAATTCGTAAGATAATGGAGCGTTTCCACACTTTCTGAATGCAGTGTAGAACATTCAAACCGTTAAGATCTAAAGTTTCTAGACATCAGCTGTCATACTTTAAGTTTATAAACATTAATCTGAATTATTTTACCAATATTAATAGTCCTCTTCCTGATACCGGCTACAGCAGCTATCAAAATCACCAAAATAACCACGATTTTCCTCATCTCAACTAACTATCTAACTTTCCATTATTTTATTCTTGAACCCTGCGAAATATCCGTTGTTTTCAGTTACGGAAAACAATCTAACTTTTCCGACACAATCGTACAGCCTTTTCAGGAAAGTTTCTGTTAACGTTTTTATTTATTTTATGTCCAATTTTTGTTTTACTTTCAGTTAATCGCAATAAAAAAAAAACAACAAATAAGCAGAGCGCCGCGATGTTAAGCGTCGACTGTGTACCGCGTTGGTATTAAGCTAATAAAAAGCACTATTAGACTTGGAGGTATACGCTAAAATTTACCATAAGGTTTAAAATAAAATAACTCCATTGAACGCTGATATTATTAGCAAACTTATGTAACTAATTTATGTTTAACTTTGGTGGGTTATTAATGAAAAGTTTTTAAAAGTATTTATTACATAATTAGATTTGTAAGTATATTTTATATTCTTACCCATGACTTGTACAAGCATCATCAGTTAATGTAAAAAATAAAACCTATGATATTAGATTCACAGCAATTACTGCCCACCAAGATATACTATCAAAAAGGGACAGTATAAAGAGTTTTTAGAGACACTAAGACATGGATTCATCAGCGGAGTAGATTTCAACGCGATAAATACTAAATGGGGACGAAGGCTAAGAACAACTAAAGGTAAAGAACTTCTACTAGCATGCAATCAATATAAATGCCAAACAATATCAACAGGAAAACCTATATATTGGCTGACATATACTGGAAAAATTTATAATTTTATAGACTTCTGTATAGGCGAAAATATATCAATGAAGTATGTGCTCATAGAAGAAACATGAAATACATAAATTCAGATCATTCCAATATACTTCTTACACTGAGTAATAATTTAATTGAAAAATAAGCTCCTTCTAGATTAGTCAATAAATAAATTGGAAAAGCTTCAAAATGACAATAACATAAGGTCCGAAGAACAGCTAGATAATGCACTTGAATTATTAGGTAAAAATATGTAACTAGGAAAATTCACCAGAAATCACTCCGACGGTAAAAGGAAACCATTACCTGAAGTAAATTAGAGAAAAAATAAATCAAAAAGGAAATTAAAAAGGAAAAATGACAACAAACGAAAGCCTTCGTTGATAAATGAGCGTTAAACAATGCAAATAAGCGATTAAAACTAGACAATAATCATACCAAACAAGAGTCAATTGGTAAATCCCTGAGTGAACTAACTAATTAAAGAACAAAATACTCATTCTAAAAAATATTAAGATAATTTAAAGACCGATACTTCAAAATCTACCCATTGGAAATGCAGACAGAACCTGGGCACGTAACAACTACCAAAACGCCTGTAGATTTGCAGAAAATTTCGAAATTACCTTATAACCAAATGATGAAGAAGGACATAATGACTGGATTGAATCAATTAAAGTAAATACTGTCATTACACCATCTTCTAAAAAAGAAGTTTCTGATGAACTAAAAAACAACATTAGTCCAAATCTCCTGGTGAAATTTTGAAAACACTTCCAAAGAAAGCAACTGTAAGAATAACGCATCTGATGCGTCATTTAGATATCCCTAAACTTTTTGTCTCATAGACCACTTGCCAAGTTTTTCCGTATTGGATAGCTAATATTGCATTTTTAAAAATGTATTAACTTGTTTGTATATCACAAATTTAATAAGTAAAAATAAATACTTTTTAGTGAGAGGAATGAACCTGGTGCTTTGATTCTAATGAATAGGTAGGATTTCCCATCTGACCATTTACTGTTGGATTATAATTAACAGCGCTGTTCCTGTTGATTTAATTATTTTTGTCTATACCCTGTATTGTGCTTTAATGAGTTTAGTTGGATCTTGACAACTTGTCAGGAAAAACTGAATTATTGACATTGATATTTAATAAATTGTTCATTATTTGCACCCAGTATTTTAACTTCCTTTTCAACCATCGCATTTTATAGAGTCTTCCACAGATAGTGAGCTCTTGAGACGGCAGTCCGCCACAGTTCCTAAAGTGGCGCTGGGCTTACACAGAACACAAGGCTAATAACCATACCAGTTGATGCCGATGACACAAAAAAACTATTACAGACTTAGAACATATATAGTCAGAAAGGAGCATGCCATGTCCGCGTTAATCTAATCGATTTGACAGAAGTGGTAACCATGTTGTACTTTGGATGATTCATCATCATATGATAAATAGTTTCTAAAATTGGTTTATAATTTTAGTGAATAAAATTTGTTAATAATTTGGATGTTTTATGTATTAATTTAAACTTTTATCAAGCGTATGTATGTTTTGTAGACATTTTTAAAAAGTGTTTAGTATTTTAGTATTTATTTAGTATTACTGTTAATTTTAAATTTTCCGCGTTAAATTTGTTAACAAACATGGTAAGTGCGTATGCGATCAACTGTGCTCATAGGCGTAGTCTCATCGTTTATAGGGTATACATACTTTTATTTAAACAATTTTGTTATGCAATTTTAAGATATTTATGTGGTTGTTAAAATGAATAATTTATTATTCAATTTATAAATTGATTGCAAATAAACAATTATCAGATTTCTTAAAGATTTTAGATTTACAAATTATATAAATTAATCCCAGGTAGTTAATCTATTTTGCACTTATAGAATCATTATTACGTTATAGGATCCTTTCTTGGAAAGGTGTTTTACCTGCTTATGCAAAATTCTCCTGCACCCAACATGCAATTTTAAAGTAAAATTTATTCACATAATGAAGGTTAATAAAAAAAAATTCAAACTTCTCGCAAGAAAATAGCAGTACGTCACTGGTAAACCGGAAACACTTGTCGCCATATTTGTCTAGTTCACTGTCAGAATTAGATACAATCGCGATTCCAAGGTCGTTTAGGATTCCTCCTTCCTGACTATATATATTCTAAGATTACAAACCATATAAGTCTAATAACAAATAAAGAGGTGAATGACAGAAGGTGTTATCTAACAAAAGTAGTATTCTGTGAATAAAGTCCGCAAAGTTTCAAATACTGTATCTGAAATTACTCTTTTATTATTAAATATTTAAATCACATACTTTGATTTTCTTTTACTATACGGAGAATGGTCGCACTGCGCAGCTTTCTGAGTGCCTTTTAAAAGGAGATAGAAAACTCCGCCACTTTGAACCCTTATTACGTATTGCCTACATCTTGGCGCAATATTTTTAATGGGTGCGATTTAATCATCCGCTTCTGCTTCGGAATTGTCGGTTTTCTTGTTTTAATCTGACAGGTTTAAACGACTAAACCGACAATTCCGGAAGCAGAAGCGGATGATTAAAACGCATCTGATATTTTGCTTGCTGCTGTCAGTGTCAGTGAATATTATTTTTGAAGTCACAGTTTATTGCTAAAGAATTAGTTAGCTCACTCGGACCAGTTGAAAGTTCCAAAATAACATCCACTCCAGGGGTACAAATTCAGGATACGCAGAAGACTGCTGTTTTATTATAGGCGGTTGTCACATATTGTATTATTCCGAGTTGCACAGTGTATAAACTAAAACATTGAGATCAAAAGTGCCGACGCAGAGTGAGCGATCTGATTATTTAGCTGTAAACTGTGTCACAGGGTTAAAAATGGCCGCGCCCTATGTTGGGCGTGTCGGACCTCTCTCTTGCCTCGTATAGTAATCAAAGTATGTGATTTAAATACATAATTGTAGTTTTTTATCCTCTATTAGAATTTGTAGATTGCATTTATGTAGTTTTAAAAGTCTGTATTTATCAACATTAAAAGATAGATAACACCTTTTTCTGTAAACAAATTATTTAGAAATATTCAAATATTTTCGTAAATTGTAGAAAGAGATTACTAAGAATTTTTTTAGTAGTAGATATCGACATAACACCTTCATTTAGATATAAAAGTCAATTTTTGACAAAATATTAGATAACCCCTTCTGCCATTCATCCCTTCAATTATTACCATTTAATTCTAAATTTAACTCTAAGAGTAGCTATTTTAAAACAAACCAATTACCATCAATTTTACACACTTTAAATACTCTCGATTCATTTCTTATTACCCAGTGTGTACACACCACTCAACCTCTTCAATTACCATCCATTTAAAACTAATTTAGTTAGTTTCGTTGCATAGGACTATCGAATTATGGCATTTTGATTTTAATGGAGGCCCTACACACTACGATATGGCAAAGTTCTAATCTAAAGGAAAGATTTAATCATCTCATTTCACTCTTCATCTTTACATTAGACAAAAGAGGAAAGGCCAGATATAAGTTAGATCGAGCACTTCACTTCACATGGACTGAATTGATGGATTGTACCATAGCCTCCTTAAATTATAGAGTCCTTACACGCTGCGATTTTTGTGAGTCCATCGATTCAGTCCATAATTCAATGTGAAGTGCTCGATCTGACTCCCATCTGGCCTCTCCTCTTTTATCTGCAGGCCCTATCGGAGCCTGTAGAGCCTCCAGTTTTAGGTGGCTGTACAGTTCAAATCTCACAAAAATGGTAGCGTGTAGGGCCTATTTCAGATGGAACTACCCTATGAGGAGGTGCTTCAACCCCTCAAAATTGAATAGGGATGAGGGGTTGAGTGATACTTCATTTGTAAGGTCTTGGAAGCCTCTTTACAACGGTGTATGAAAAAAATCACATTCTTAACTCAACAGATTGATTTTTAATACATGAAATGATCGAAGAAACGTGATAAACACCTGCAAAAACAAAAAATGAAGGCAAGATAAGAAAATGTTTTGATTTTTTTTTATTTATTAGTTCGAGAGAATTTATTATTGTATGGAAGTCAATGGAGGACAATTTGAACATATGATTTAAAAATGCAGTTTTGATTGTTTTCATTGTAAGCATGATAAAACAATTAATTTTTTTTAAGATTGTGATTTTTTTCATACACCGTTGTAAAGAGACTTCCAAGACCTTACAAATGAAGTATCGCTCAACCCCTCTTCCCTATTCAATTTTGAGGGGTTGAAGCACCCCCTCATAAGGGGTTGCTCGTTCAAGCCTCAAATATACGTCAAAAGATGTCCCCCCAAAGAAAATCATCCGATGTGTTTCGGGAAATTTTTCAAATTACTATGGGATAAGAAATATACGGGATAATTCGTCTGAGATGGAACACCTTGTATATTGTATATTTCCAGTGTTAGTATTGCTATTATATTTCATGCGGTTTTAATACTTTAAACAATGCATTTGATTTGGTGGATCACGCT